CGCCAGCGTTGTCACTTGGGCTGTTGCTGTTCTTATTTCTGTCCCTGGGGTAGTATTTCACAAAACTCAGAAGGAAAGTTCAGGCTATACTTGCAATGCTCATTATCCATCAGAGCAGAGAAATGCATGGAAGCAATTCCTCACCTTAAAGATGAACATCCTGGGACTTCTTATTCCAATGCTCATTATGATCTGCAGTTACACACAAATTATAAAGACGTTACTGCAATGTAGGAATGAGAAGAAACATAAAGCAGTCAGGCTTATTTTTCTTATCATGATTATCTACTTTTTTTTCTGGGCACCATACAATATTTGCATTCTCTTGCGTGATTTTCAAGGTGCATTTTCCATCTCTACTTGTGAAGGGAATGGTCAACTGCACAAAGCAATTCAAGTGACGGAAACAATCTCAATGATCCATTGTTGTATCAACCCTGTCATTTATGCCTTTGCTGGAGAAAAATTTAGGAAATACCTTCAAAGATTTTTCCGAAAACAGATTGCAGTCCACTTGTCGAAATTCTGTCCTGTTTTCCATGCTGATACAGCTGAACGAGCGAGCTCCACCTACACGCAATCTACTGGAGAACAAGAAGTTTCTGCTGCGTTGTAAGTTGTGTCTAGTGAAAAAATGGAATTGTGAGGTCAACTCTTTGATGAAAGCCTGCTGAATCTCTCCTGGATATTGTCTCTAAGGCAGCTGAAAAAGAATAATAAAAAATAACAGAATACATATTTACCAAAGTTTGCATTTGCTCACAGACTTGGGTATTTGTGAAAAGGATGACTGAGGGCCTGAGCTAGCAGGATAACAGGTTTTTTTAAGTGAACTAGAGGTTACAAGTTACACTGGTTCTTTGGAAACATCTCTTGACTATCTAATACACAAGATACCTCACTCATTTAAACTCAGTCTCAGTCATATTTTTTACTGGTCTGTTTGTGTATCTCTGTAAATAATGCTAAATTACCAAGGTCTGTCATAGAGCATGGAATGAAAACTTTTATACACTTAGAATGGACTCTGATATTTCATGGTATATTTTCCTCTGTGTATGGTTGAGTCCCAACCACTTAGATCTTTCTCATAATAGTTCTAACTACTAGCGTCTAATACCTGAGTGACTCTTGAGTTTGATACTTCTGAAGGCCCTCTTTTACTCATCTGCTGTTTTATATGCTACTCATGTTAAAAAGACAATGTAATTGAGCTATCATTAAAAAACTAATGTCCTATAGCTGTTCAGAAAATCCATGTGGTAACTATTTTAAAACTAAAGTATTTCACATGGAGCTTTAACCAGGTTGGATCAAACGTGATGAGTGCATCAACAGTGTTTTAGCTTTTTGGTGCAGTGATTTTGCTTGCCATTTTTGTAGCTTATATAAGAGAAAAGCTTAAAAAAAATAATGAATGCAGGCATAATGGCTGCCAAACCTCAACAGTGTTAGAGGTGTGAAAATGATTTCTGAACTGGATTGACACAGATGTTTTTAGAAATAAGTGTATGTCATAAACATTTAAATTAACAAAACATCTGAATAAGTAAAAATACTAGAGTCAAGGTCATAGAGCATCGCTCTTTTGTTTTAGAAGCTGGTATCATATGGGGGACTTTGACAATGGGGTTTTTTGCCATTCAGAAGTTTTACAGAGAGCCAAAGCTTCCATAATTAGTAAGACTGGTGGTTAAATGTGACTCTCCATAAAAATCAAAACCTGGAAAGCATGTGAACACACAGAAAACGTGAAATAGATATTGGGCTACTCAGGTGCTTAAGAACATACCATAATAACTCAATTAATTCGGGCCAAGTTCTCCTTCCAACAGTTTTTATATTTCCCCTAAGACATATGGTATTGGACAACTTTGGAGACTGGAAATAAAAAGTGAATATTCTGTTTGCTGTTCCTATCCAGAAGGGCAATTTCTGTTTCCCAACTTCTCTAGACAGCCTTTTAAATAATATTTTCAAAGAAGAAAATGTTTCAAAAAGTCTCCAAGAAATTTTACAGTGGGAAGTGCTTGTGAAAGCAGGAAGTGAAACAGGGAAATCTTTACTTATCAAACCACTTGTTTTGAGTTGTTTGTTTTGTCATATTAAGCACCATTTTGGAACTACATCCATATGGGAAGTGTAACAGAAGTATACCACACCTTCTCATTTATAAGATTTTCAGCTGCACACTCTTCTTAAAGGCCCTGTGCATCAATTACTTTCTGGACTTTGTATATGCTTTTAAAACGGGTAAATATATCAGCATAATAACAAATACACACCTTCTAGTCAGGCTTTTTTTTTTTTTTTTTTTTTTTTTCTTATCGAATATACCTATAAAAACAATTTTATATTTTATTCTGCTCTTGACAAGAACTTTTGCTTGGTCTTGAAAACACCTTGCCTTTAGGAAACTACTTTCTCTGGAGGGCTTTGATGCCAGACACAGTAATGCATCTTTCTCAGCCCTTCAGGAGCAAAGCACAACAACAAAACGTGCATGGGCACACTGACAAACTTTCTGAGAGGCATGTCAAAACTGCTCTGATCCTTCTACAGCGTGGACCTCTAATCATGGATCTTTCTAAGTAACAAGCAGCTTCTGGAGGAAAGAGGTGGAAGTGAGATTGGTGGCCCAGTGCATCGGCAGCTTATCAAGAGTTTCCATCACTTTGCTGGAAAGGGATCACACTTCAGCACATGAAAACAAGTAATATTTCAGCTACTGCAATCAACTGTGATCCACATTCAAGGAGACAATTGAAAACACAGTATTTGGTTGCATTGCTGGTACATTCAATTTAGGACTCTGCCAATAACTGTAATAATATTTTGTATTATAACATCCATTAAAGCTGGTTAACATTTTTGTTAGACTTCTTGATCCTTTCCCACCTCCATCCCCTTATTTTTTAGAACAGCCCAGAAGAATGAAAAGGAAAATAAATTCCTCTTTGTAACACTGAAAGAACAAGCAGGACAAAATTGGGGTTTTAAAGTGGACTAAGTATACCAGCATAATCAAATAGTACAGGACCATCAAGGTAACTCCAATACTCTTAACTGATTGTCACTAATAATCTAATAAAAAATATGCTACTTTGGTTGTCATTACATTTGATTTTGTTTACATTTACCAATAGGAAGGAAAGTATCTCAGAAAATTCATACTGATCCTAGATGATTGATACTAGTTCGGTTTTTTAAATAAATAAGTGCATAAAAGAATTCCAGTATATTTAGTGACCTAAGTAATTAGGTCATCTAGTTAATATCTAACAATTACAGTAGACTTGTGCACACACTTCCCTTCAGTTCTTAAGATTACAGTGCCATCATGTGGTCTCACTGAAAAGTTTGATGCCAACAAACCTGCACTACTCCAGGCAGGCTTTTGGTGCTTTCCTCATTCATAACATTTTTTAGGATTAATTTCTTCACAGAAAGGTGATTAGATGTTGGAATGGGCTTCCCAGGGAGGTGGTGGTGTCACTGTCCCTGGAGGAGTTGAAGGACAGACTGGATGTGGCTCTCAGAGTCATGGTCCAGTTGGGTCATGGGATGGGCTCGATGATCTCAGAGGTCTTTCTCAACCTAATTGATGCTGTGATCTCTTTTCCTAAGAAAATCTCCTAATGGAATGACTCTCCCCACTACAGGCATTATCAGTATCATGCAAACAGCAGCAAGCCACTACTGTGGCTAACAATGGAATGGAGGTCCATTGGATGAGTAGGCAGGGTCACCCTGTCATGATGCAGGCAGATGCCGAGAGTGCAGTACAGGATTCCAGGCCCTGCTCCGGAGGGAGAACATTCCACGTTCTTGTCCACAGCTTGGAAGCCACAAGCTGCAAGAATGAAAGTGAAGTGCAAGGTCCTACACCTGGGTCATGGCAGTGCCAGACACAGTTCCAGGTTGGGTGTAGAAGCGATTGAGAGCAGCCCCGAGGAGAAAGACTTGGGGGGTGATTGTTGACGAAAAATTCAACTCACTCCACTCTTCTCTGGCCACAGTAACCACTGTGCAACAATTTTTTGCTTGGAGGAAGCTTCTAGCAGCTGCTCAAAGAAGCCACCCCTGCAGCCCACCCCTGCAGCCCCCCAGCTACCAAAAATCGGGCCTTCCTAACCCAATGCAAAGAATCTGAAGGGGGCCTGCAGGGAAGCCAGAGAGGTACTCATAGTCAGGAACTGAAGTGATAGGACAAAGAGTAATGGGTGTGATAAATGTGATTCGTGCTAATTAAGTTGTAACTATATTAACAAAATTGTATTTAGATCAATAGAAGACAATTGTTACAGAGTGAGAAGGGGGAGATGGGTGAGACAGGGCAAAGGACATCTTCCAGATGTTGGGAGTCGAAGAAGGAGGTTGGAAGAAAGTCAGACAAGAATAGTAGAAGGATGTAGGTCTGACAAGCAGCATCTAGAAATAGAAAGTTTTGACCTTGAAATGGGCCAAAATGGGATGATTCCAAGCATGGGACTCAATTAAAGTCTTGTTATGGAAAACATCTGCTCAGTCACACAGGGCGCCTGCGCTACCTGCAGGTCACACCTCGGTCACTGATGATGATGATGGGCCTTCACCGGAAATAAGACCCTTAAAAGGATAAGAGACCCCCTAACCCATTAGTAGAGCATGCGCCGTGCAGTATAGTTATGTAAATTTTAGGAATAGAAACTAGGAGGAGCTTTCTAGAAACTTCTGTAACTTACAGTATATAAGTGGGATTGTTAGCCTGGATGCTTTGATACGTGAGGAATGGCGAGCCACTCCCCGTATCCCCGGTCGGAGGGGGGCCCCTCCCCGGTCGGTTTTGCTTATGCTTTATACGAACCTCAATTATACTAAATTACTTACTGCCAAATTTTGTATATTCTTAAATATATGCACTTTGATTGTTTCATCTCCAATACTTTAATTGTCATCTCCAATACTTTGATTGTATTCATTTTGTTACTATTAAAAACTTATTATTAAATTTAATCTTGTTGCTTGATAAATTGGGAAAAATAGAACATCATTCATAACATGGGCACAAATTGAAAGAGGAGAAATTTAGATTAGATATTAGGATGCAATTTTTTCCTGCGGCAGTGGTGAGGAGCAGATTGCCCAAGGAGATTGTGGATGCCCCATCCCTGGCAGTGTTCAATGCCAGGATAGGGTATAGGGTATTCAGTGGGACGTGTCCCTGCCCATGGCAGGGGAGGCTGGGACTAGATGCCCTTTCAGGTCCCTCCCAACTCCTTATCCCTCTGTGATTCCCTAAGTTCCCCTCCCGTCTTCCCCTGCGGCCCCGCGCGCCCTCAGCCAGGCGCGCTCCCCGCCCGCTCCCCCACGCGTGCTCCCGGCGCACCCTGCGGGCGGAACGCGGGCTCGCAGCCACGCGGAGCCTCAGATCCCGCCCCGCCCCCATCCCCGAGGCCCCGCCCCCTCAGCCCTGCCTTCCCCGTGCAGACCCCGCCCCGCGCCTGCGCAGTGCCAGCACCGCCGCTTTCCCGCGCGGGTGAGGGGCTGGGGCCGGGCCCGGTCTGTGGGGTTCGGGAGCGTGGGGCGCCTGCTGTTCAGCAGGGACCCTTCCGTGCGGGCCCCGGGCCCCGTGGGGAGCGGGCCCCCCGGTGGGAAAGGGGCCTCTCGGTTGGGGGCCGGCCTGTCGCCGCCCCTCCGTCCCCGTTTGAAGTCGGTGCCAGGCTCGTGGCCCGGCGGGGACAGGGACAGGGGCGAGAGGGCTTCCGGGCCGCGGCGGGAATGTCAGGGCGCTCACTGGATTTTGCTTCTTAGTTGAAGGATGAGAAATAGCAAGGAGCCGTTTTTTGTGAAGTTCATAAAGTCTTCCGAGAGTTCGCAGTATTTTTCTAAAGCACTTGAGGTAAGTGGGTTTGGTCACCTGTGTAAGCTTGTGAACTGGCATGTGATTTCTGTGTCTGAGTTAGCTGATTGTACCATGCAATAAGCTGACTTATATGTGTACACCTGGAAATAAAGCTGTTTCTATAGCAGGGGTGCTTAGTGTGTAATAAAGCTTGTTGATTAAGAACAGTTTTGTTGGAGAATTTCATGAAATAGCTTCAATTTCAAAACCCGTAGGAAAGGGACATGTAGTCTGGAAGGCCTGGATGGTGGTCACTTATCTAAGCACGGACTTTGGAAGGACACTGTGCATTGTTTTACTGTAGGAGGTTAGTGGGAGCCAAAGGCACTGTATGGCAGGATCAGGTCCTTAAGGCTTCTGTGTCAAATGTTTAAGTCAGAATATTGTGAAGATTCAAGGGAATGAAGGGGACACACATGAGTTGTTTCAGCCCTTTCTTCTGCCTGTACCTGTTTGCATGGTAGCTTTGCTGGGAGCTGTTTCAAGGATGTGCACTTGTGTAATTTGCACAGGATTGCCTCTTCGTTAATTATTTGCTGATTAAATAAATGTTGTACACATCATTTACCTGCAGTCTATAAAAGAATTCCAGTCAGAAGAACATCTCCAGATCCTTGAAGAAGAAACAGTACTCAATATAAAAGAAAATGATAAGTCACTTTACATTTGTGATCCTTTCAGAGGCATGGGTTTCAATCATCTCCAAAAGGTACGTCACCCAGCAACTTACTTAGAGCTCTATTCTTTCCTTTTTAGAAGCACTCATGTCCATACTTAGATCCTGCATGTTCTTTCCTGCACTGAGTGCAGCAGTGTGAAATTCATCCTGTGTTTAGGGAAGACGGTGACCAGCAAAGCATAATGATGATTTTCAAACATTTGGAAAAGTAAACGGTATGGTTGGTTCTGATCCTGCTGGAGTCCCTAAGCTGGTTCTTACACTGTTTATCTCCTGATAAAAATGATTGTGTTTGATCTGCAAGGAATTGTCTAGTGGACAAGATAGGCTGGCTGGAATTCTTTGGCCATAGCCATAGCATCAGCTGCTTTTACTGAGGCCAGAAAATCTACAAGGATTGTACAGAAAATCCAGAACTGAAAGTAAAAACTGTCAGCTACCTGGAGGTGCTAGAGAAGGCGGAAGACAGACCAAGAGCCCTGCCTTCCTCAGAATTCAGAGACAAGGAAAGCCATCCTGATGCCAATGTACCCTCTGCTTATTTTCTTTGTGCTTTCCCTGTTACCTTATTGTAGCTTGGCTGTAGGATTGTTGGACCTCAGGTGGTTCTGTACTGCATGCAGTCGCAGCGGTGTGTCCCGAGAGCCGAGTATCCCGTGTACAACATGACCATGGCCGACGTGACAGTGTCCTGTACCAGCCTGGAGAAGGACGTGAGGGTAAGGCCGTCCCAGGGATGGATTGTTCAGCTGGTTATCGTTGATACTTGCTTTGCACGGCTCATTACTAAGGCAGCTTATATGTCAGGGCATATATGTCTCATTGTGCCTGTGTCTAGATCCATCAAGTCTTCTGTAGCTTGCAGACTATGTATAGCTTATTCACATATTAATACCACTTAAATACGATTTTATATGTTTACTTTATATTTATTCTGGTATGTTTTTTCTAATACTACCTAAAACGTCAACCATCTGCAAAATTTTGCTCGTACAGTGTGATTGTTATGTTTTTATTTAGAGTATATATTATGTTCAGCTTATCATAAGTGCAAATAAAATGGAAATTACAGTTACGTTTTTATGGCTTCCATATATATCTATTTAGTATTTTTTTAACAGTTTTTAGGGGAGATCATGGACAATTGAAATCCATGTTTTTGGTATAAGGTGGACATGACTGTCACATAGGGGTTGTTTTCCCCTTGATAATTTTCTCTATTTTTTTTCTCCATCCAGGAAGAAGTTCATAAATATGTGCAAATGATGGGTGGATGTGTATACAGAGACCTCAACGTATCAGTAACTCATCTTA